TCCAACTAATAATCCGATTATAAATCACGATAAAATTATGATAAAAAAGCAGGCAATGATACTGAATAAAGTAATATGTTCACTGAAGAAAATTGCATAATGCTCTCTTTGATTCTTTGAAGGATGGTAAGTAGTTTTCAATCCACATGGACTCTTGGTTCCAAAAAGCATTTACTAGGTTACATTGCAAACAGTGGGTTTTTGTTATCATAATCACTAGGTCATTACACAATAAAAATGTTACCAGCTCATGCAGGAGATCAGGCTGTTCTTCAAACAGTCTTGGCAAGTTCCTTCTCATAGCATCTTCTAGCTTCACTGCATTTTCACCAGGAACACCATACCATACTTTTTGTTCACCAAAATGCATGTAATTTAGAGAATAAAGGAAATGATCTTCCACATGCTACAGCAACATAAAGAACAAGGATATATGAGAACATGGACCCTAATCAACGTCTCAGTCATGTACTCCCTCCGTTCCAAAATAGATGACTCAACTTTGTACTAACTTTAGTAAAAAGTTGAGTCATCTATTTTGGAACGGAGGTATATATTTAAAATTATTAGTCTCAAGATAACCCAAAAAAAGGGTTGCATGGCACAGAAGATTTGAAGCACTCAGCTACTAGCATCTTTCAACCACCTAAAAAAAATACTGCAATATATTCCCTCTGTACACAAATGTAAGATGTTTTAGCAGTTTAATTTAAACTGCAAAAACGTCCTACATTTGTTTACAGAGGGAGTACTTAGCAAGGTTCAAGCCAACTTGCGTGCGCACATGATTTAGGAGCATTGTAATATTATTATCCACATTTCATGAGATGGATGAGAAATAGAAGAATGAAAAATCTTACCCAGCAAAATGATGAGAAACACATCCCAACATAAAGCCAAGGGACCACAACACCAGATATATCCTCAGTTTCAAATGAAAGAACAGATCTAGGTTGTCGTCGCAGATTATTCAAGTTCCAACAAGATAAACCATATGGATCTTGCTTATTTCCATCTGATAGAGATGATTTAGGGAATCCACTACTAAATATTGCAGTGTCCAGATCAGCGCCGTAATCCACCTACGCAAAGATAGTTTGATGTCAATCAGTAAAAACTTAAATCCTAATAAGAGCATAATCTACATATAAGCAACCGGGGTACCTCAACTTCATCATCAGGGCATACAACTATCCGCCAATATTCTCCCTCAATTTCCTCAACTGATGGCCGCCACATTTCTTTGTGCTGTTTAATTTCAAAAAGAGAAATTTCATCACTTCCCTTCATTCCAAAATATTGCTCCTTGAACATATCAGCGTATTTCTGGAACTCCTCTAGTGTGAAATCTGAGCCAGACTGAAAGCCAAACTTCTCTTCCTGGTCTGCAGAGTCAGCGCTACGGCGCTTCTGAGACATCCCAAACCTCAGTTTCTTTCTTCTCTTTCTTTTCTTCTGAACTCGAGGTTGTGTTTCTTTTTTTTTGGGTTCCCGATTTTGAAGCTTGTCAACTTGTTGAACTCGGGTGTTGAACTCTGTACATTTCCAAAAGCTCTTCTCCTTTAGAGGACATGGTGGTCTCCAAGAAGATGGTGGAACAATACGACAAATTCCATATTTTTCTACTTGAGGACGAATGCTAGTAATGTACCCAATTGCATCTTTGAATTCCTGATGTAAAAGAGTTATACACTGTCAATGTCACATAACATAGTTCTGCTAGTGAGGAGAATAGTCCACAAACCTCCTCAGTTGGGGTAAAAACAGGAGCATCATCAATTTCAGGTCTGTTCGATTCATCTGGATGCCACTTTCCATGTGTCTGCCCATAATAAATTAAAGAAATGAGGCAAACAAATTAGGCACATGATAATCGCATAAACTGTAAGCGATGGAAAATGATAATTTGTGCTGATCAAGTTGAAACTTTTCAAGGGTGTACAGTTGTTGTTCCGCCACCCTGAGAAATACTCCCTCCGTTCCGAATTACTTGTCGCAGGTATGGATGTATCTAGATGTATTTTAGTTCTAGATACATCCACTTCTATGACGAGTAATTTGGAACGGAGGGAGTAGTAGTCATAACAAGATCAAGTTCTAGATTAAAATTTCACTTAATTGGAAAGCACTACAGGCTAATGTTCTCATAGTAGGCAGGAATTTAGACCGAGTTCAGCATACTAATGTATTGTATAATCTCCTTATGAATTTAACCCATGGATCCTGTCATTGATTGGTGAATTAGTAAAATTATTTCATAGTTCGAGATCTCTATGTTTGCATAACTTATCAATGGAATTGCTGATTCAATTGCATAGAAGTACCAATCGGAACAAGACTCACAAATTGTATTCCTACAAGTCAAAACGAATTTAAGTAGATCAGGTCCACCCAGATTGTTCAAAAGTTTGCGCCACAATTATACAATCAACATGATCTTTTGGGGGAAACTAGATCTTTTTCTCGGAATTCTAGAACACGAAAACAATCATTATTACAAAGAAACACATAATCATCAATCAGGCAATATCAAAATCGAAGACCAATTCCCCCAAACCGCAATCGCAAAATACGTGACCCCCCTCCCCCACTCCCATCTCCTTCCTTGCATGCGTTCATCAATTCAACTAATGTTTTCCAATCCACAACCGGGCCCAAGAACCAGCATGGAACACACGCCCTCCACAAATCGCATCTCACTGCTGCATAGATTCCATTGCCCTAGAATTGAGTCATGACCTACACATTGAAATCTATACGAGCAAACGGGAAACAATTCATAGTATACGCATAACAGATATTATATCCTTCATCAATCAAACAAAACCGCTACTGCTTCCGAACCAAACAAACCAACAGGAACGATTCTCGACGTACACAACCGCTGATCAAGAACAGTTCTTCAATCAATAGGAACAAAGAAAACAACCCGCCCATGGTATTAAAAAAAGAACACGGCTTGATCTACTAGCATGTAATATCTTCGAGACCCGTACCTGCGGCGGCGCGGCCGTGGAAGCCGGCTCTGGCGAGGCCGTTCTGACTCGCATTCTCCTTTTCTTGCCGCGGAGCGAGGGCAAACAGGGGCCGCCGCCCTCCTCCTCCCTGGGGGAGGGGGAGGCGGAGGAGGAAACCATGGGCGCGGCGGGCGAGATGCGTTGGTGGTCAGAAGAAGCTATCGCGGAAAGGGAAGTCCTCACACCCCGCGTCGCGATTTGGTTTTACCGGGAGGTGACGACCCCCGCACGTGCTCTGCAGCCGGGGTCCCCGAGTTAGGGTCGTGCTCGGGGTGGCGGGGTAGGGCGCCGCTGTATTCTATACTCGGTAAGCCTGACTAACGTGTTTTAGAAGGACAACCCTGCAGTGGAATCGGATCATATAAGTTACAGTAATATAAGTTACAGTAACGGTGACATCCCTTCTTCACGTTCATATGGTTAAGGCTAAAATGATTATAATTAATTTGCAAATTACAAATCTACTGTATATATTTATAAAAATTACATACAAACAAAATTATGGTGCAATAAAATTATTTTTTGATTTATTTTTGTACATGTTGCAGTAAATCCGCACATTTGTTGCTACAGTACCCTGACATCCCTTCTTCATTTCACACACGCATTTCACTGTAGCTTCCTGACATCCCTAGAGGATGTTAGAGGATCCACTTTCCCCTGTAGTAGCCGACTGGCTAGGTTTACTACTTACTGGTTACTCGTAAATCTGACCATGATAAGTGCTACACGATGTGGTATGAAGCAATTTCCTTCTGACATTTTCTATGACAAATTTAATTACCTGAGAATGACAACTTAGTTATGAAGCATGGCATTTTCTGTTTAGATGGCAAGTTTCAACTTTTTGAGGATTTTTTTTAAATGGCAATTTTAGTTGTAAAAACGTCAAGGCGGGGTTATTCCGTGTCACATGTGTGACACTTATAATTTAGATTATTTTAATAGTTTAACATAGATATTTTTATTGGTTTGAGGTTGAGATATGTTGTGGGAAGGGAATCCATAGGCAAAGATATATGAAAGCACACCATCACATGTTTCATTACAAAGCAAACATTAATTTCTTCATCCACCGAAATACCCGTCGGCGCGACACAAGGGTCTATAAGAAATTTGTATCAGGTTCATATTAGTTATGAAATAATTAATCATTGATTAAGGGGGTTTAATTAATTTATGCATGCCCTCAAATCATTTAATTTTGGGCTAATCATATCTCTACTCCTAAAGGGGATTTGGTAGCCCGGTATCCTGATTTATTTTTGTCGGTCTATTTTAGCCTCACCTCCCATCACTCCCTCTCACTGGTTTATTTTTGTCTCATCTTCCACCACCCCTCCCGCTGGTTTATTTTCTCCATTTTATTTAGAAACCAAATCTTATTAAAGGGAAAGATCATGTTTCATGCTTGCTTTGGAATGTGCCGATTCAATTTAATTACTTAAATAATAGATAATTAAAAATCTCAGGGGTTATCGAACCAGAAGTTTTTCCCTCAATGAGAACCAAGGTTTATCGAACCAGAAGGAGCACCAACCAAATCCTAGTTAATAGCACTCGCGCACACAAAAAGCAAATACTTGCACCTAACACGGGCAAGAGGGTTGTCAATTCCCTTAAACTCGTTACTTGCAAGGATCAAATCTTGTATAGGTAAATAGATAAATTGCAAAGCAAAATAAAATTAAATAAATTGCAGCAAGGTATTTTTGGTTTTTATAATATGATTAAAGTAGACCCAGGGGTCATAGTTATCACTAGAGGCTTATCTCTCGAAACAATAGCATACGATGGGTGGACAAATTACTATTGGGTAACTGATAGAAAAGCGCATAGTTATGACGTATTCATGGCAATGATCATGTATATAGGCATCACGTCTGTGACAAGTAGAACGACTCCTGCCTGCATCTACTACTATTACTCCACCAACCGAACGCTATCCAACATGTATGTATAGTATTAAGTTCATGACAAATAGAGTAACGCCTTAAGCAAGATGACATGATGTAGACAAAGTAAACTCAAGCAATATGATTAAACCTCGTTGTTTTATCCTTAATAGCAACAATACAATATGTGCCTTGCTACCCCTTTTGTCACTGGGTGAGGACACCGCCAGATTGAACCCATTACAAAGCACTTCTCCCACTGGAGATAAATCAATCTAGTTGGCCAAAACCAAACGGATAGATCGGAGAGAAATACAAAGCTATAACAATCATGCATAATAAATTTCAGAAAAAAACTCAGTCACTTTCAATGAATAATCTGATCATAAACCCACAATTCATCAAATCCCAACAAACACTTCAAGAAGTCCGAGGAGAATAATGTATTGAGGATCAAAGAGAGAGAAGAAGCCATCTAGCTACTAGCTATGGACTTGTAGGTCTATGTTGAAATACTCACGCATCATCGGTAGGCAGCAAGGATGATGTAGAAGCCCTCCATGGTCGATTCCCCCTCTGGCAAATTACTAGAAAAGGCCTCCAGATGGGATCATGGAAGAACAGAAGGTTGCGGCGGTGGAAAAGTGTTTCGGGTGGCTCTCTATTGGTTTGGGAATATTTATGAATTTATAGAGGCGGAATTAGGTCAAATGAAGTTGCATGTACCCACGAGCTCTGGGGGCGCCTACCCCCCCCCCCAGCCTTGGGAGTGCCCCGTGAGCTCGTGGCTCTCCCGTAGGTCTTCTGGCCTCCTCCCAAACCTTCTAGGGTCCCTTCTAGTCCAGAAAAAATCACCGTAAAGTTTCATCGTGTTTGGACTTCATTTGGTACTGATTTTCTGAAAAGCCAAAAACAAGCAAAAATTGGAACTCGAACTGGGCACTGGGTTAATAGGTTAGTCCCAAAAAATAATATAAAGTAGCATAAAAATGCATATAAAACATCCAAGATTGATAATATAATAGCATGAAGCAATCAAAAGTTATAAATACGTTGGAGACGTATCAGCATCCCCAAGCTTAATTCATGCTTGTCCTTGAGTAGGTAAATGATAAAAAAACAGAATTTTTGATGTTGAATGCTACCTAACATGGGTATCATGTAATCTCTTTAGGGTGTAAATATTGATAAATGACGAAGAAACAATATCAACATAATAATATCCATGAATATAAGAAGCATAATCATTACTTTTTCAAAATATACGATCCTTAACGAATGTTATCCTTACTCATTTTATCATGTTAGCATGGCATGACTCCGCCTTCATCGCATAAATATAAATCATGAGCACCCTGGTGTCAAACCAGACAATTGGATCGTACTTCTGACGCGCTTTAGCATTTTCAACCCCATGCAATACATGAGCATGAGCCATGGATATAACATTATAGGTGGAATAGAATGCCGTGATAGAGATCAATAAGGGAGGTCAAAAAAGGGAAGGAAGTCTCGCATCAATACGGCTAGTCAACGGGCCATGTAGAGGCCTATCAATCAATGTCAATGCAAGGAGTGGGAATTGCCATACAATGGATGCATTAAGAGCTATAAGTGTACGAAAGCTTAACAGAAACTAAGTGGGTGTGCATCCAACTTGCTTGCTCATGAAAACCTCGGGCATTTGAGGAAGCCCATCATCGGAATATAAAATCCAAGTCTATAATGAAAAATTCTCACTAATATGAAAGTAATAGCTCAGGAGACTCTCTATATGAAGAGCATGGTGCTACTCTGAAGCACAACTTTGGAAAAAGGATAGTAACAGTGCCCCCTCTCTCTTTTTCTCTCATTGTTTTTCCTTTTTCTTCTTTTTTCTTTCTCTTTTTCCTTTTTATTTTATTTCTCATCCGGAGTCTCATCCTGACTTGTGGGGGAACCATAGTCTCCATCATCCTTTCCTCACTGGGACAATGCTCTAAAAATGATGATTATCACACTTTTATTTACTTACAACTCGATAAAACTGAAACAATATGACTCTATATGAATGCCTTTAGTAGTGTACCAGGATGTGCAATAATCTAGCGTAACATGTATAATAATGATGAATTGTGGTTGTGCCACAAATATCATGTTAGCTCTATATGATAATGCAAAGCAATATGACGATGAACACACAAGTCGTGAGACGGGATGATGGAAGTTGCATGGCAATATATCTTAGAATTGCTATAGAAATGTCATAATAGGTAGGTATGGTGGTTGTTTTGATGAAGATATAAGGAGGCTTATGTGTGATAGAGTGTATCATACCATGGGGTTTGGATGCACTAGCAAAGTTTGCACCAACTCTTGAGGTGAGAAAGGGCAATGCACGGTACTGAAGAGGCTAGCAAGTTGCGGAAAGGTAGGAGTGAGTATAACCCATGAACTCACATTAGTCATAAAGAACTCATATACTCATGAGATGCATTGGGATTTTCCCCGAAGAGGAAGGGTGGAGCAGTATAATAGAGATAAGTATTTCGCTCAGTGAGAACCAAGGTCTATCAAACCAGAAGGAGGACTAACAAATCCTAGTGAATAACACCCGCACACACAAAAGCAAATACTTGCGCCCAACGTGAACAAGAGGGTTGTCAATCCCATTGAACACGTTAATTGCAAGGATCAAATCTTGTATAGGTAAATACATAAATTACAAAACAAAATAAAAGTAAATAAATTGTAGCAAGGTATTTTTGGTTTTTATAATATGATTAAAGTAGACCGGGGGCCTAATTTTCACTATAGGCTTCTCTCTCGAAACAATAGCATACGATGGGTAGACAAATTATTGTTGGTTAATTGATAGAAAAATGCATAGCTATGATGTATTCATGGCAATGATCATGTATGTAGGCATCACGTCCGTGACAAGTAGACCGACTCCTTCCTGCATCTACTACTATTACTACACCAATCGGTCGCTATCTAGCATGCATCTATGGTATTAAGTTCATGACAAACAGAGTAACGCCTTAAGCAAGATGACATGATGTAGACAAAGCAAAATCAAGCAATATGATTAAACTCCATTGTTTTACCCTTAATAACAATAATACAATTGTTGGGGAACGTAGTAATTTCAAAAAAATTCCTACGCACACGCAAGATCATGGTGATGCATAGCAACGAGAGGGGAGAGTGTTGCCCACGTACCCTCGTAGACCGAAAGCGGAA